CAGTGGGGGTTAGGTAGAGACGTGTCACAAGAGGAGGAGGAGGGGAAGGGAGCGCGGAGACATGAATACAGTTAATCGATCCTTGACCGTGGCAGACGCGGAGCGTGCAAGAGGTTCTTCTGCACGCACAAAACCGGCCTCTGTAGCCTGACGGCAGTCGCTTCTGCTGTTGATAGTACACGGTGACCCAGTTGCTTAGACCAGTTAGGTGTAACCTTGTAAATCACACGGACGGACTCGTTGGAAAGACTAAGAGAATACCTGCCGGCATGGCTGAGGAAAGGTGAAGTTAAGAGCATACACAGCCCCATCCTCGCACACATAGTTGGTTCTGGGCGCTGTGTGGATCCCAACGAAGCCTTCCGTGTGATTTACAAGGTCAAACCTAACTAGTCCAAGCAACTGGGTCACCGCGTACTATCAACAGCAGAAGCGACTGCCGTCAAGCTACAGAGGCCGGTTTTGTGCGTGCAGAAGAACCTCTTGCACGCTCCGCGTCTGCCACGGTCAAGGATCGATTAACTGTATTCATGTCTCCGCGCTCCCGTCCCCTCCTCCCACTCTTGTGACACGTCTCTACCTAACCCCCACTGTCACTCACTGCCTCCTCCTCCCCCCGCCCCCCCCCCTTTCTCTATTCTCATACCCCGTTTGTATGAAAAGACGAACCATAATCGATAGCACTTATCGCTCACACGTTTCAGTTTGTATCTCGGTCCCACTTAAATGTACCGGCCCGATGAGAACTTATCGAAAGCACGCGCATGCTCTCCAAAGGCTCTTCTGAATTGCTCCATAGGAATTTTCGCAACTTTAAGTTACTTAATGTTTTAAAGTTGGAAAATTCCCATGGAAGGACTCAGAAGACCGGTTGGCGAGCATGCGTCTGATTTTGATAAATCCTCGTTGGGTCAGAATACCCACATGATAAAGGGGTGCAAGCAAGACATATTCGTGATAAGGGAAATCGATTACAGTTCGCCTTTTCATACAAGTGGGTTGGGAACGTAGTGGAGGGGGTGGAAGTGGGAATAAGAGGCTGTAAGCTAGGGTGCAGTGAGGGTTGGGGGGGGGGAGTGGTGGAGCGCATGAAGTTAGCCGAACCTTGACTATTGAAGGCATAGAGTTTGTGCCAGGTCCAACCATGTGAACAAGACCGGCTTTAATTACCTGATGGCATTCGACTATGTTGTTACCAGCAGACGCTGACCCAGTGGCATAGGGTAGTTCGGTGGGACCTTGGAAATCACACGGAAGACTTCGTTTGGGGCCCACATGAGTGCGAGAATGGCGCTGTTTGTGCTTTTAATTTCGCTTTTTCTCAACCATGCCGTTAGGTGTTCCTGTATTCTCGTGGTCGGACGCCTACTCGTGCGACCAATATAACCTACCCCACAGGGTCAACTAAATGAGTAAATTCACGTAGAGGTGGCCTGAGCTGGCAACCTATCGTTACCTTCTCCGTGAAAAACAGGGTTGATCGAGAACGATACCCGAACTCTTGCCGCTGGGAAGGTTCGTGAAGCATCCCGCTCAAGGTGTCTTCTCAAGTGTTCACTCATTGCGTCTCCTTAAGAAGAGACTTTAAGATACAGAGTTTTAGAGTTGCGGAAATTCCCATGGCAGTGTTCAGAGGAACAGTTGGCGAGCATACGTTTGCTTTTGATAAATTATTGTCCGATTGTGGACATGTGAAACTCGCCGTATCATACGATTGCAAAGTGGTTAGCAGAGAAGCTCAAGCCCGTAAAGCGTCAGCTGGCACCACGTAGCTATCGAGATACCCTCGAATTCACTGCGGACCTCGGAGATCTTAACCTTAAGGGCACGGTGATGTTCTCGCCAGACATCTGACCACTTTACGAACGTTCCGGTTACCGGGGCAGTTAATTGCATCTGCTAATTCCTCAACCAATCAATGAGAAATAAGAATTCCGGCGAACACACTCAGCGAACTATCACAAAGACGCATATTAAATATGCAGTTCCTTTTAGACAACTAACTCTGTAGACAAAAATACGGCATTGCCATGGGCTCACCTCTTGGACCTCTCCTGGCACACGTCTTAATGGGCAAGCTAGAGAAATTATAACTAAGCGATCAGATCAATAAGCTCAGACATTACGGTCGCTACGTTGATGATATCGTTGCAATCACCACCACCACCACCATCATCATCACCACCACCACCACCATCATCATCATCATCATCATCATCATCATCACCACCACCACCACCACCACCACAGAAACAGACATAACTGCCCTGTAAAATGCAGTAAATCAGGCACATCCGGCGATCACTTTCATGTTGGAGGTGGAAACGGTTGGTTCGCTTTGTCTCCCAGGAGACCTGACAATAGCATCCGAAGGAGCATCTATCGGAAGAAAACCTGGTCTGGACAGTACACGAACTTCGCCAGTTCCGTACCCCTTCGACAAAAACGAAATCTAGTCTGATGTTTGACACAAAAGCTCTAAAAATTTGTCCAACAGATAGCATCGAGGAGGTGCTCAGGAAAATCCCGGACTTGCTTCGCGAATACGGGTATCCTGACAGGTTTATCGCAAAGAATATTGCTGAGCGACCGGAGCAAACCACCACACTGACTGCCGAAAAGAAAACGCTGCTCCTCAAGGTCCCTTTCAAAGGAGACGCTGCGAGTGAACTCCTGAGAAGAAGCCTCACAAGCCTTCCCAGCAGCAAGGGTTCGTATACTATTCTCTACTAAGCCTATTTTACGCGGAGAAGGGAAGGAGAGGTTGCCGTCTTAGACCGCATCAATGTGCATCTACTCGTTTACTTGCTCCTATGGAGTAAGCTGTATTGGTCGTACAATTCGGCGCCTGTCCAAGAGAATACGAGAACATCTCCTGGCATGGCTGGGAAAAGGCCAAAATAGGAGCATAAGCAGCGCCGTTCTGGCGCCTGTTGTGAATTCCGGGCATCCTGTGGACCCCAATGAAGCTTTTCGCGTGATTTATAAGGCCCCATCTAGCTGCCCAAAGCTAACGGGCCAGCGTCCGCTAAAAGCATCAGAATCGGTCGCCGTCAGGCTACGAAAACCGATCTTGTGCGCGAAGAGGAACCGCGTTCAGGCTCCGCATCTATCCTGGTCAAAAATCGACTAACAAAGCAATTCTTCGCGCAATTCTGCTCTCACCCCGTCCCTGTCATTGACTGCTATTACCTTCCCCCCTCCCCATATTCCCACACCCCGCCTGTGTGTTACAAGGAGCTTTAATTGATCTCTCTAATCACTGGAATGTTTTTACTTCTACCCCATCCACATATAAATGTACAAGTTTGACAAGAATTTATCGGAGGCAAATGTATGCTCGCCAACTGGTCTTCTTATCCGTCGTCAGGGTGACGGGTTTTAAGGGGTCTCGGTAACAGCCTTTCCAATAAATCCGTCAGGATACCCGTTCTCGAGAAACAGTTCCTTTATTTTCTAAGTTTCTTGTCGATGCTGCTCGCTGGACATATTTTTCTAACCCGTTTCGCCAAACGATGGACTAGATTGCGTTTCAGTTGAAGGGATACGAAACTGCAGAATTGAGTATATTGTTCAGACTAAGTTTTCTTCTGAACGTTACCACCAGCACTTCTGCTTACAAGGACGTCTAAGAAAGAGAGCGAATCTACTGTTTCCACCTCCACTGTAAATTTAATTGACGGATGTGCCTGACTTACAACATCTAAGAAGGCAGCTATGTTGTTTTCTACAACTTTCCACTAAACTATCCTAAGCCACTGGGTCAGCATCTGCTGGCAACAGCAGATACGACCGGCATCAGGTTCCTAAAGGCGGTCTTGTGCACACAGATGGACCTGGCAGAAGCTCCACGCCTACCGTGGCCAAATGCCGGTTAATTGTATATACTCCTCCGCACCCTCCCCCTCCCTCCTAACCCTCATTGCCTCCTAACTAATGGTCTCTCATTCCTTCCCCTTATTCCCAAATCCTACTTATATGAAAAGGCAATTGTTATTGATTTCTCTTATTGCTCGCATGTTTTACTTGTACCCCGTTCCCATATAAATGTACCGGTCTGACGAAAAATTATGTAGCGTCAGTTGAAGGGCTTTTCCTGCCTTTAAATACTCTGTGACAACCCTCCGCTTTACGAGAAATGAGAGACTAGGGAAGACGAGTAGACCACATCTCGATATCGCACCGTCTGACCCATCAACCATTAACGTAGACAGAAAGAACAAGGGTTAAGCAGCGCACAGTCCGTTGGCTTTCATCGACTCCTCTAAAGCCGTCAATTCCAACGGTACGAAGTACACCGAAACCGACCAAAGGCACCTAGAACACCTTTCGAAGACGATGCACAACTCCTTTATAGCCGATGCCAACCAGCATGGAGAGGCATAACTTCAACTATCGGATCCGGCGGGGTGTGCGGCTCCCCCGCAGTCCGAAAAGAATCCTTCAATATATCGGACTCTCTAAAGTTTAAGTGTGGACTACACAAAATGGGGATGCCCATTTAGCAGTAGTCCGTGTTATAGAAAACAGTTGTGGTATGGTCGTCTTATACAGTAATATGCCCGTATTATCTCTACTGACAAGTGTTAAGTAGAGACTTTTATACTTATTAGAACACCTACTAGAACAGACGGGGAAAATCGAGAAACTTGCTCACCTAATTTGGCAGATTAACTTTTTTGAACGAGGGATGACTAGCTGATGTCAACTTACCAGGCGGTTGGTAATTTACCCAAACCAGTCTGGACCACCTACGCGATGCAACGCCGTTCTTGCCATAGAGCTTCCTCATTTCAAACGAACGGAAGGGAAAGAATTAGTGAATTCAGTGCCGGCTGCGAAACACGTTCACCCGCTACTCTCATTTAGTTTTGTCGCTGCTGGGTAAAGCACGACCTTGTGGGGCTATAAATTATTGTTGTGCGGAACGGCGAAACCCAGAGGACGTATCCACCTGTTTCATCGGTGGGTACAGGGAAATCGCTATCGCATTTCCGCAAAATGGACAACCGACAGTATCGATGACGTCAGTTTAACCATATCACCGTAACATTAGCAACCGCCAGCGACACCGCTTACGTCCGACCATCATTACGACCACGGCCATAATAATCAGCAGCATTACTATTATTGGTATTTTCCGCCCTTACCTGTCCTTCAGTCTCTTCTTTTCCGTCCATGTCTTTTTTTTATTCTCCCCTCAATTTCTTTATTGTCCTCCCCTTCCGTCGTTCTCATACACGTCCCTGTCCGTCTTCCATTACTCAACGTCCAAATTATTCACGTTTAGAACCGTCGTCTTCCCTTGCATTAAAAGACGAGACACTTACATTGTCTTTAGCTGTAAATTACCCGGGATAATTTTCAGTTCAGAATGTTTAAGTCATTTCTGAAAAGAAGTGGGGACCACACACCCGGAGTTGTTATATTCTTTAACAGATAACTATATTATCTTAAAATCGAAGAAAATGGTTAGCGGACAGCAAGAAATGTGACGTTATAAGTTCCTTTTGAAGTTTCAGTTCGAGTAACAGGTCCAGATGCTGTGAAGAATCGCAGCAGAACTCAAGATCATTTTAAAATGAAAAGTCATTGTCTCTTAAGGGGTACTGGCTTCGGGAACGGATGGCATAATCTATGCAATATATCCTAAATACGTTTAGGTGTCATACTACGGATCGCAGTAATTGTCGCGAAAACTACTTCTGTGGTTCCTAGTATGTCCCGGCCGTACTTCAGAGGATAGTTTCTATGTTCCCGTCCAGGCATGGGAGCGGCGTGGGCAAAAGCACATGTGGAAAAGTTAAAAGAACTTCGAGAGAACAAAGATATTTTGGTAACTAGGCCGGACAAAAGAACAGGCGTCGTTATAATGAATAGATAGGACTATGTAGCGAAGATACAGTCCGTATTATCAGACCAGAAGAAATCCAGGAAAAGGATTGCACGGAAGAAGTAGAGACAAAACTGACTGATTGTCTAAGAAGGCTCCACACAGGGGGTCACATAAGCAACCGTGCCCTAGATCGCCTCCGACCAGTCGGCACACATATCCCTCGACTATATGGTCTACCTAAAACCCATAAGGAAGGCCTGCCAGTCCGTCCGATTTTAGTCATGCGAAACTCTCCGTATCATGCGATAGCAAAGTGGCTAACAGAGAGACTTAAGCCCGCACAGCGTCAGCTAGCACCACGCAGCTACCGAGACACCTTTGAATGCATTGACGACATCAAAGACCTTAACGTCAACGGCATGTTGATGTTCTCGCTAGACGTCCCATCACTTTTTATAAACGTCCCGGTCACCGAGACAATTGATTACATCTGTGATTTTCTATCTGCCAGTCATCAAGAAATAGGAATACCGGCGAAAGCACTCTATGAACTATTACTAAGATGCACATTAAATGTACAGTTCCTTTTTGACAGCCAACTCTATAGCCAAATAGACGGCGTCGCCATGGGCTCGCCTCTTGGACCTCCCTTAGCCGACGTCTTCATGGGCAAGCTGGAGCGATTTTAACTAAGCGATCAGATCAAAAAGCCTAAACATTATGGTCGCTATGTTGCTGATACCTTTGCAATTGCCACTGCAGAAACCGACGTAGCTACCCTCTTAGATGCGGCAAATTAGGCACATCCGTCGATCTAATTCCCGCTGGAGATCGAAACGGCCGGTCCGTTCCCTTTCTCAGATGTTCTTCTAAGTAGGAGATCTGACGGGTGTCCGAAGAAGCGTCTATCGGAAGACAACTTGGTCTGGACAATATATGAACTTCGCCAGTTTTGTACCCCTCCAACAAAAGCGAAATCCAGTCCGATGTTTGGCACAAAGAGCTAGAAAAATTTGCTCAACAGACAACATCGAGGAGGAGCTCAAAAAAATCCAAGAAAACGGGTATCCTGACATGTTCATTGCAAAGAACTTTACCGAAAGACCGGTCAAACCCGCCACACCGACCGCTAAAAAGAAAACTTCGTTCCTCAAAATCCCTTTCCAAGGGGACGCGGCGAGTGAACTCCTAAGGAGACGCCTTGATCACGCTGTCTCGCAAACCTTCCCAGCAGCAAGGGTTCAAATATCCTTCTCTACTAACCCTATTTTACGCGGGGAAGGTAAGGATAAGTTGCCACCGCAGACCACCTCAACGTTCCTATATTCCTTCACTTGCTACTATGGAGCAGGTTATATTGGTCGCACGAGTCGGCGCTTATCCAAGAGAATACGGAAACACCTCCCGGCATGGCTGGGAAAAGGCGAAACGAGGAGTATAAGCAGCGCCATTCTCGCGCATGTTGTCGATTCCGGACATCGTGTGGACCCCAACGAAGCATTTCGTGTGATTTATAAGGTCCCATCGAGTTACCCTAAGCTACTAGGCCAGCGCCTGTTAGCCACAGCGGAAGCGGCCGCCATTAGGTTACGAAAGCCAATCTTGTGCGCACAGAAAAACTACGTTCAGGCTCCGCGTCTACAGTGGTCGAAGGTCGACTAACGGTGCAACTCCCCCGCGCACTTCCGC